CATAAACAAATGCTTGCTCTGTGAGCGTATATGTACATATTGTCATTAGAGTTGTGTAAGATATCTCTGTTTACAGAATAAATTAATAATTAAATACATACATGTTAATAAAGTATTAACTCTTCAGCCCACTTCTATAAAGCCATTCAAAATTTCTCTGACTTTACTGTCAGATTCTCAGCAATTTTTCTCAACTCCTCCAGCCTCCATACGCTTTAGCTAAGGGTTGACAAATGTCTAGCCAAATGCTACATATGAACTAAGTGTTTTAAAATGCTTTTTGAATTTTTAAAAATGTAATCCTTTAGGTAAAGTATGTACTTCCCAGTATCACAAGCCATACCGCCTTCTGTTATCTGACACTTGGTGGAGTCACCTACCTGCCCTATAGAGTATAGAGTTTTGAGAGCTCAGTCTTTGTTCTTATCTATTTCTGAGTTGTTGGCCTCTCAGGGGAGTTCAAAACTCTTCTCTTGCTGCTCTGTCCTATTTATACAAGAATAAATCAGGTATTATGCTGGGATTTAGAGCTTTCAGTGAACAAGGGATTAGAGAGAGGTGTCTATTAAGGTAAGGTAGAAAGAGGCCTGATGCAAATACACACACACACACACACACACACACACACACACACACACACAAATCTAGGTGCAAGGCCTGGCCTAGACCTGCTCTAGATATTAGAGACAGTGTTCTTGGTTCTCGAAGGCTGACTGGTTTTTCTCTTGAACTGATTTTTTTTAAGCAGTTGAAATGGTAGTATGCCCATTGTAGAAATTTAGGGGTGTGCTCAGAGCAAAAGACACTCCAAAGTGCTTCCTTTGTTTTAGGAACAGGCCTCCCTTGGGCCTAGGAAAGGAGTCTAACACAGAGTCCTACAAGTCTTACCATGAAATAGATCTGAATCGTAAGACATCCTACTAGGCATTAAGATCTTATATTTGTTGAGCTTTGGACCTCATCGTTAACAGTCAAGATCAGGTCTCAAATAATCAAAAGTCTGTTCACAGAGATCTTTTTTTTTTTTTTAAGGAAACTGTATATTTCCACATCATAAAATGAAATAACACCATCTTGTTGATATTTCAGCTAACTTAAATAACATGTAATTCCTAGGGGGGGAAATGTTAATATAATGGTACCGTGTAAAGCCATATACAAAACTAGATATTTTGCATCCGAATTATGTTTCAAATAAAAATGCCTCAAGGGATGAGTGGTTATCTTTGTGTAATGGAGTTACAAATTATTTTTCTTTTCTTTCTTTCTTCTCAGTGTTCTTCCAAAGAATTATAATGAGCAGCATTAAATTACTGAAATTTTAGAAACTGAATTATGGGAAAACTAATTTCGAGAACTTAGAGATTCTCTTTTTGTAAATTATTTATTTATTTTTGAGAGACAGAGTCTGTGTGAGATTGAGAGAGAGAGGCAGAGAGGGAAAGAGAGAGAGAATCTTAAGCAGGCTCCTCACTGTCAGGGCAGAGTCCAATGCAGGGCTTAAACTCACAACCCGTGAGATCATGACCTGAACTGAAATAAAAAGTCAGATGCTCAACTGACTGAGCCACCCAGGTGCCCCTACAAATATCTTTATTGTTATAGATGGGTAAGGATAAGTGATTTAAACTGGTTCCCACAGTTTGGAAGCTCCCTCTACACAGAGAAGGGATGACATTACATGCTAATGGCCAAGTAGCTGTTAAGAATCTTAAGCAGAGTGCAAACAAATTTCTAGCAATTAAAATGGTAGGAGTATTATTTTTCAAATAATAAAGACATTAGCAGCCTGTATATACTGCTTAAAACATGCTAGGCTCTACTCTAAGCATTGTCTGAACATCAATTTCTTTAATCCTCTTGACAATCTTCTGAGTTAGTCACAATGTATTTTCCATTTTACAGTAATCTTTCTATCACAGTGACTAGCACATAATAAACACTCAATAAATGGGAGCTTGTTACCACTATGAACTCTTTTTATAATGTATTTAAGAAAGATGAGATCATTTCAACATTCAGAATGGTCCAGGCTTGAATCAGACTTTGCCACTTATTGTTTGGGTGCCTTTGGGCAAGGTAATCCAACTTTTTTTATTTCAGTTTTGTTTGTAAAATAGGAATAATGTCTGCATCATAAGGTTTATGTGAGGATTAAAAATGTGTGTCAGATAATGTATATGATGTGTTTAGTATGGTGCCCTGGTTCGTTGGGAGCCTTCAGTGAATGGCAGTAATGTTAGTCATACAACCCTGTTTTATAAGGTCTTCCCCTGGAGGCCCCTGGGTGCCTCAGTCAGTTAAGCTTCCAACTTCATTTCAGCTCAGGTCATGATCTCAGGGTTGTGAGATCAAGTCCCACCTCGGGCTCTGCACTGAGTGTGGAGCCTGCTTAGATTCTCTCTTTCTCTGTCTGTCTGCCTCTCTCTCCTTCTGCCTCTCTCCTCCACTCACACTATACTCTGTCTCTATAAAATAAAAAATAAATCATGATAAAGGTGTTCTCCTGAAAACCACAAGGTAGGAAACTGCCCTGCAGTTAGGTGGGAGTTGAAAAGACATCAATGACATTATTTCCTTCTCTTTCTATAACATCTTTTAATAGTTCCATAATATGGGGGCACCTGGGTGCTTCAGCCGGTTAAGCGTCCGACTCTTGATCTTGGCTCAGATCAGTCTCAGGTTCATGGGTTTGAGTGATAGATGACTTTTACAGACATGACCCATGACTCTCTTATGCTCTGTTCAACCCTAGCTCCCTACCTGGATCAATACAGAAAGTTTGGAAGGCCTCTGGGGTGGTGGAGTCATTACATTACACAGGACACCCTGTGTCCCTGAACCATTGATTGTGGAAAAATTACCTGAACACTAACCATGGTGTCTATCTAGAGCAGTCAATAATCTTTTTATTGTACTGAGCCATTACATGTTTGGATACATTTATAGCAGTTAGTCTATTATAATTAATATAATAATTCAAAATGACAAAGCATATAAATGGGATTTGCAAATCTTACCTGACCTGTCCATAGTAGTCATTTTTGAAAAAAGAGAGGAATTCATCTTTAGTTGTCTGCCATATGTTAACTTCTATACTTATATTCTTAATGTTTGAAAATGAGGAAGTGGAAATAAAATGTAAGTTAAAGATGAAATGCAGGGGCGCTTGGGTGGTTCGTTCAGTTAAGCCTCCGATGCTTGATCTCAGCTCAGGTCATGATCTCACTGTTTGTGACTTTGAGCCCCACGTCCAGCTACACACTGGCAATGTGGAGCCTGTTTGGGATTCTCTCTTTCCCCCTCTCTCTGCCCCTCTGCTGCTTTCTCTCTCTCTCTCTTTCTCTCTCTCTCTCTCTCTCTCTCAAAATAAATAAATAAACTTTAAAAAATAGAATTTGAATAAAGTTTCCATTTTCCTTCTGAAATCACTACCTCGATATCTTTCCATCTTGCAAAACAGACCCATAATTCATTTGATGAATTCTTATTATACATTTTGGCATTTTTAAATAATTCTCATAGAGGCAGCAGGATGCAACAGTTAAGAGAACAGGCTTTGGAACCAAACTACCTGGCTCTGCAACTAAATAGCTGTGTGATGTTGGCAAGTTACTTTTCTCTCTAGTCCTTATTTTCTTCAGCAGTTAGCATAACAATGGCAGCTACTTCCTAGAGCTTATGTAAGGATTCAGTGAATTCATATTTATAAAACAGTTGGAAAATTCTCCAACTCTTAGTCATCACTAGATGTCTGCAATAGCTTGTGTGTGAATTAAATGTTAAACAATTCATTCTTTAAAGAGAAATTAAATTTGGTTTGATAGAAATGGGGGGTAAAAATCAAAGGCATTTTTCCAACTTAGTTTTTACAATTCCCTCATGATTTTTCTCTGTGTTCCCCAATTAGGCTTCCCTGTACCTTCAGAAATGTTTCAATGACCTTCTGCTTGCATCTTTGCCCAACATTCTGCCTTCCTGTTAGTGACCTTCCTGCTCTCTACCCAATACTGATCTATCCTACATTCACTTCAAGCTCTTCCTCTGTTTTCACATAGCTTTCTCTTCTGTGTCTTCATGTCCACATTTCCCATATAATTTATTTTAAGGATACCCGTCACTGGATTAGGGTCCACCTAATTCAGTATAACCTCAACTTGATTACATCTGCAAATGCCCTGTTTATAAAGTCATAGTCAACAAGACACAGGGTTAAGACTTGAACATATCTTTTTGCGAGACATAATTCAACCTACAGCAAGATTTAGTGCCACCTGAAAATATTTTCTGTCTCCTCCAGCCCCTCATGATCACTATGGAAAAGCACGTACTTTTGGTTTTATTTACTTGACAGATTATATCAATTTGCTTTCTAATTTTTACAAAGGGCTTATGAACCTATATATTTTCTGGTAAATTGTATTACAATATTTTAGGCAAAACCTTGGACCATGATATAATTTTTTTGTATTTGTGTACTCTTCTATAGGACAATAAAATGCACATAGTAATGAATAAAAATATTAACGAATAAGTGAAGAAACCTAGTAATGCGAAATTCTTCTAGGGAATAAGTAATAAAGATAAATGGTACATGATTAGAACATGTCAATTTGTAATCTCAGATTTTTTAACTTACGATATGCTTTTGACTAATTATAAAGAGAATTATAAATTTACAAATGAGTATATATGTATTGCCATTATTATAATTAAATTTCATATAAAATCTGGAAAATGTCCCAGTATACATCCGATAACTATGTTCCGTGCTTCAGAAATAAGAGATGCTATTTTGCTTTGCAACAACAAAGAAGGCTTCCCACTGTAAATAAGAATAACACAGGGTGGAATGTTGATCGGACCATTAATTTTTCCTAGAAATTGACATCGCATTACCTTATACTGTTTAACAGTCACAATTCCCAAATCCTGGTAGGAAATATTAGAAATCAATTTCAATTATATAAAAATAATGTTTTAAATTGATATGTCCACAGATGATAATGAGTGTGGAAATTTGACCCAGTCCTGTGGTGAAAATGCCAACTGCACTAACACAGAGGGAAGTTACTACTGTATGTGTGCACCTGGTTTCAGATCCAGCAGTAACCAGGACAGGTTTATCACAAATGATGGAACCCTCTGCATAGGTAAGTTTGACTACCTAACTTAAAATTGGTACCTCTCACTTATTGCTTATTACCTCCAGAGATTAAATAATATTTGAACCAAATTCTGCCAGTCTTTGAGCGTACCCTAGATGTGCAGTACTTTTAGAAATTTCATTAATTCTTTCAGTCTTCTAACACTGTTTAATCAGTTACTATGGAATATTTATCTAAGGATGTAAGAAAAAAAATCAGGGGAGAAAATCAAGCAGTTCGTAAGAAAAAAAAATCATGAAAGTATGAAATCTAGTGTGGTGGCAAACCACAGGATAAATATTTACACTTGAGAATAATATGTTAATTCAAGAAAACTACGATTTGCATGGCAAGATATTGATGCTTTTATAAATATGCACTCTGAGATGGGCTCTACATTTTCTCAGAAAATGTTCAGAAAGGCATTAGTTCTAAAAGACTTGTTCTAGGGGCGCCTGGGTGGCTCAGTCAGTTAAGCGTCCGAGTCTTGATTTCAGCTCAGGTCTCATGGTTGTCAGATCGGGCTCTATGCTGACAGTATGGAGCCGGCTTGGGATTCTCTCCCTTTCTCTGCCCCTCCTCTGCTCTCGCTTTCTGTCTCTCTCAAAATAAATAAATAAACATTTTTTAAAAATAAATAAATAAAAGAATTGTTCTACTGTTTTTAGTATTGTCAGCTGAAAGGTAGTTACACTTAAGATCTGCATTAAGTTTTTCTGAACACTAGAGTCCTATTTAGAAAATCATTTCAGGTTTACTAAAATGTTTTCTGGAATGATGATAATAATTTCAATTAAATCCCTAAGTGAAATATTATTCTGAGTCTGAAGAGAGTATCTAGAAGTTTTTTTTAATGTCCTTCTGTTGTAATTTGGTCATGCATTTGATATATCAGATCCTATAGAATTTGGATTAAAGTCTGAGAAAAAAAAGATTGCTTCGGAAATTCAAAAAGTTGAACAATTTTCAGGGGCAAATTCTCTGGGGCCAAAGACTTTTAACTTTGAAAGTAAGTTGTAAATCATCTTAATCACGGTTTATACAACACTGTCCAATTTACCAACAACTAGTATAACTAATTATGGTTGATACTAATCTGCAAAATGAATACATGAACTGAGACCCTGAGAGTGAAATCACATGGCCAAGAGAAGATATTTTATTAGAACTCATGACTCTATATGCAACGTGGCCAAGGTAATGTGCTGCTTTCACTTTACACAGTTAGCTAAAAGAGAGATACCCAGGCTAATCCACATCACACTAAAGCTTTGCTTAGTTCCCTACTGAGATTCTCCGGAGAAGTCTAGCTATGTTCTTATTAACACATGAGAAGTTAGGAGACAGTGTTCAAAGAAACTTCATCAGTGAAATGTCTCCATCAAAGAAATTATCCTGTCTCATGTACCTGTGGTTCATAACATTTACTCCGCTATATAAACAGAAAAGAGTCTGTTCTCCTCATTTGATCTCTAAGGTAAATGAGGGCTACTTCTGATTCACATGTTTAGGTAAAAGGAGGATTAGAATCACAGTCTTGTATCCGGAAAGCTACAGAAGGCTAAAGCAGGTGGCCATCTACATCTTATGCATTGATCTGAATCTTGCAAGTGCAGAGGATCAAGTTTTGCAAGGGCATAAAAGACTTAAAATATGAGACAATTGAACGATAACTTCACTTTTAGTGTTTGCAGCAAAAAATTTTATTGGAATATAGCTTTACAGTATATTCAGGATATAGTCTATGAAGCTCCCCAGAAAACTTGTAATACCTCACCATTTGATATTCTCAAACCTCTGCTCTTGTTGCTTGTCTTCTTAGAATGTTATGCATATGTGTGTTTTAGCTTTAGTAGTTAAGTTCTAATTACGTAGCTCTGTAAGCTTTACTAGAAAAGTTCCAGTTAGTGAAGAAATATAACTCACAACATCTTAATCACTTAATTTTAACTATGTTCTCCATTCCCTCTTGTCTCTGGAAGACATCTGTCTTTTCATCTGATCATTTTTACTTTTAATATGCTTCAATTCACAAAACGCTGTATTTCTCTGTCTGTTTGTGTTTCTTACAAGTAGAGAATTCCTATATTAGAAAAAAATTGAATCACAGACACAGAGAAAACACATACACACAAAGATGATTGAATGCCAACGTTTCATGGAGGTATAACATATTTGTAATTTATGACTCTTTCTCCCAACACTCATTTATTATTGAGATACTATAGAATGCCCCTAAGTTTTGGCTAATTCCCTTTTTAGCTATTTTAAGCAATCAGTAAACACAAGAACTATATTAAAACCCAGTACCCAATATTGAGTCCTTCAGTTTCTACCTGTTTCATTTGATGGATTATTCACTGAAAAACTCGTTCTCTGGAACATTGTTATTTCTCACCAATTTTGTTGTCCTTAAGGATTAAGCTTTTTTGAGAAGTAGAACAGTTGTATCTTTTTTTTCTCTAGTCCTATAGTAATTTTCATTGTGCACTATGATAATCTTCAGGAGAATTTGAACAGAGAACTATAATTCTGTTTCCTTTTACATTAGTGTATCACCTTGTACTATGTTGCCTCTGATTTGAAAGTTTACCTGATCCTTAAATTTGACATGCCTGGTAATTACAGTCATTAGGAATCTCTAAAAATAAATAATGAAAAACTCCAATTCAGGGCAAGAAAAGACCCAAGCAAAATTCTTTGCCTTTAGTCTATATTCAAATACTATTGGCCACAGATAAGATCATTTTGTTGCAAAAGGATTTGAGGCAGATTTAGTGTCCTGTGTATTTGCCTTCCCCTGTAATTACAGTAAAACAGAATTTCAGATACCTAGCTTCCTCCCAAGAGACCTGGTTCCAGACTTGCATTTCACAAATGGGAAAAAAGAGGCATCCAATAGGAAAGTGGTTCTCCCAAGGCCAAATGAGTAGAACCTAAAAGCTTCACATTTACTAAGTGCTTAAGACCAAGCTTGTAATTTTTATGTCGCATTGCCTTGGGTATGCTGATAATTTCAGATTTTTTTATGGCTTTGGATAATATTAACATCCAGTTTTGTCTTCACAAATTACTTTCAATAATTGAACATTTTATCTTTTCTTTGCAGTGTGTGAGTTAAACGTTAGACAAATCAGTTATTGATGAAAATTGTAAGAATCAAAACAATCATATGATCATGTTTTGAAAGAAGATTATGATAAAACACTGTTGGGTTGGCTCATTGTAGACAAGAAAAACAAGCATAACCTCACTAATGAAAAAGTACCAAGTGAATTTTTTGATGTGCAAACCAAGCAAACGATTGTTATGATGTGCTTACGTTTGGCAAAATCACCTTGTTAGTATTAAGCCCAGTGTTAGGTTGGTGGTAGAAAAAGTGGATCAGTTATTAAATATGGTATGCCAATTCTAGCCTGACTGAAATAATTCCAGAGTAGCAATTTAACTCTTATTAAGCTGAGGTGGGGGTTCTTTTCCTCTTTTACATCTCTGGGGAGTACCAAGACATGGCAGTCTAATGAGACACTCATTATCAATCTGTTTTCTCCAAACTTACATCTTCACAGGGCTCCTGCTATTAAGAAAACATGCAGCCTGAATAGAATCACTGGGCCTATTATATCTTGGGCACTAGTTCAAAACACCTTCATGTCCATTTCCTCATTTGTTTTAAAAAAGAACTCTTTTGAAGTAAAAGGTATTTTTTAGGGTATTACCCAAAGTCACAAAACTAATGAGTATTACAGCTAGAATTTGAGTTAAGATCCTCTGCAGGGCCTTTACCTGTAAGAAGGAACACATAGTGATTTGATTAGATCTCAGCTAATGAGGCCCTGCAAGAGAATGCTAGAGAAGTTAGTGTAGGTCTTACTGCAAAATATCACGTTCATTTTGGTAAACCAGTTGCATCTTATTTGGGCATGGCATACTCTCAATATCTGATGATTCTCTCTACATTACTAGGTAGCAAGGGGCGTAGAGGGATATCCTGACACTAGTAGAAGCTTTTTGACTAGTCTGGTACATAGCCAGTTGTCACACACTCCATTATTAGGTTAGATTCAATAAACTCTACTACCAAGGCACAGAGTGAGAAGGATATCAAATTCAGCCAACTGCACTTCCACATTTGAGTAAATAAGTTATAAAAACAAAATGTATAAGCAAGAAAAGTATAAATAATTTGGAAAACAGTCCTTTAATGGGATGATTAAGATTCTTAAAGGATTTCTTTGGTAGGTTAATTAATATTCTTGTATAACATTTGGAGTCAGAATATGAAAATTTTCATAATGTTAATTTTGAATGCTGGTCTCCCAAGCTACTACCTCCTTATTATTTTTGATTACTATTTTGTCACTTGCTGAACTTAGAGCTTGAAATACCCTACATGATCCAAGGCTGACATTCTGGGATGATAACTAGCAAAGTGAGTGGTGGTAGAAAGGCTTGAACTAGAGTGGAGACCCCAAGAAGCACCACAGGCATGGAGGATGCACAGGGAAAAACTGAAACACCGTCAGTTACAAATACCAACGTTATATATACCTGTGTCCAAAATGCACAAGAGAGGGTGGAAATTGAGTTTGCAAAGATTTCCATGTTGCTTAGACATTGGGTTTGGACAAAGTTGCCAAGAAGAGTTGCACCTTTAAATAATTTTAAAATTAAGAGAAATCAATACCTCATTTCCTGTTAGCCATATAAGTCATCTAAAAATATGAAACATGGGCATGGGGTGCCTGGGTGGCTCAGTCGGTTAAGTGTTTGACTTCAGCTCAGGTCATGATCTCATGGCTTGTGAGTCAGGGTCCCACTTCGGGCTCTGTGCTGACAGTTCAGAGCCTGGAGCTTGCTTCGGATTCGTCTCCTTCTCTCTCTCTGCCCCTCCCCTGCTCACACTATCTCTCTGTCTCT